TGGCGGGGTCAGCGGGAGCACAGTTGTTCCAGTAAATATTTACTGCACTTCCATGGAGCTCCGAGCTGGGCCGATTTCCGTGACACCCTTGCCCTCTGCCGCATTTCTGTGCGGCCTGGGTTTGTTTCTCCTGCATCCCAGGCGTGGAAACCCTGCAGCGAACTGTTCACGTTCCCAAGGGCAGGGCTGCAGCCCATCCTCACAGCTGGAGGCTGAGCTGGAGCCGGCCCTGTCCCCCGCTAGGCCAAGACTTGCTCTGTCCCCCCCATCCAGATGCCAGCTAGCCTCGCGCTACATCCCCAACTAACGCCAGAGACACCAGCTTCTCCCAGGACAGCGGAGGCCAGCAGCCGGGCAGGGCAGGGAAGTGCTGCTGGGTCTCCAGGCACGTCGATGCTGCCGGCCCTCCCCTCACGGGGCACAAACCTCGGGGCAGCGCCCTGGGCACGACGAGTTCGGAGCTACCCCAGATGCCCAAGGCCTTCCTGTGCTTCCAGCACGGTCCTGGCACCCCGAGCTGGAAACGGCCAGGGGCCCGTGCTGCCCAGGGTGAGTCGGGACTCCCAGACACAAACTTCGTCCCGGCTCGTGACAGCGATGTGCTTGTTCCCAGCAGTTCCCAGCCTCATCCCCGCCAGGGGCTCTGGGCTGTCCTGCCCACAGGACAGCCTGGGACACATCCATCACCGGGAGCACCGGGCAGCGCTCCCTCGACTGCCAGCTCCGGTCGGGGCAGAAGTGCACCCCAGAGCCTCATCACCTGGACCTGGTTGAAAATAGGAGAAAGGGGTTAAAGATCCTGGGATTAGGAGAAAGGAGGGAGCGTCAGGAGACACTGCTTCTATTCCTGTTGGCTGGAGGATTCCCATGCACGAAGGGTCGCAGCGCTGCAGCACCAGCTTTTAAGGCTGCTGTGAGATTCACCTTAAAGTCTCACCTTCCAATTTATTTTCCTTTGGGTTAATAAACAATACACTTACAACTCCAGCAACACAGAAACCTCCTGCTGCTTCCCAACAAGTGAGAAGATGTGCGGGTTCTCCAGGGAGGGTGCTTCCTCTCCGCTTTACTGCACAGCCCACAGATTTCCAGCCTGGTTTCACTTCCTCTCTTTAAGCGCTCTGGCACAAAAGCCTGCCTGCAATTCATTGCTCAGTGCTCGACCCCGCGGACCAGATTACCTGCCGGTGCGGGGACAAAAGGTGGCTCAGG